TCGACTCTCTGTAAGGAACATGTTTCGTCCTGTTTCATTCATTCACACGAAGCTTGGACTCCACCTTGTTGAGGAGATTCTTACTGATTCTCAGGTACTGTAAGATTGTCCTTGGTCAGTTAATATATGTGTTAGTTTACACGGATTTGATTTGTTACAGGATTTCATCATGAGCTGACATCGGTAAAAGAACCAATGGAAAACCTGAGTGTACTGGACAGCTATCTCGTTAGCCTGCATCGGGACTCTTCAACATATAAGGAAATTATGTATACCCCAACCATTTACACGAATCTTCCATGTTTTGCTACTTCTGCCCTTTCGTATTACGTTTCTTTGTCTTCTTATAGTATCTCCTGTGCTCTATCGCAAAATGAGTTCATTTCCTCCATTTGACATAAAAATCTATCCCTCTGCTGTTTGATGTTTTTGTGCTGATGAACGACTGTCTATACACTACTGATAAATATAGTCAACAGCACACTCCACAATTCGAAACAAACTGTTCTTCTTGCTTTATCCAGATTCATAATGGGTAATATGTGTATGACATAAGTATCTGCAGTTGTGTAAGTTCCAGTGTTCCTTGTTCTTTTGATTTTCTAGACACATCTCAGTCTAGAAGTGTTTCCCCAAAACAATTCACTGACGACACTTCTTCATGGAAGACTACTGATGACCGTATCTAGACTGACAATCGATTTCCAACAACAAAATACACAGCCCAGAAAGCAAAATGCTATCGGAAATAACAAACATCTTGTTAATTAGTTATATAAAAAAAGAAACAATCTTCACATTTTCTTCTTTCATTTCTTCCTGTGTCAATGGGAAAATTGGGCTTCGATTTTGAACTCCAGCCTTGAAGTTTTAGTAGCGGTGATGTTTCCACTGTCATACCCAACCTTCCTTCCTTCCTTCCTTCATGGACTTACAAATGTCTAGTAAACTAAGCGAAGTTTGGAAGTGTGTTTGCCGGAAGTCGAGACTTCACCACGTTTGTGACTGGTGAGTATTATAACAATGGAAAACTGACACAAGTTTTTTAAGACAGTCAGTCCATTTCATAAATTTGAATAGTGTTATTAGAACTAGATGGAGATTATCTGAAAAATGTGATGTGATGTGATCTGTTTGTGCAATATACATTTCGAACAACAATCTGATCCCTGACACATTTACTTGTCAAGTCAATTTATATGAATAAAATAACTTGAAGGGCAGTTAAAGTACACAAAGTGACAAAATGGAATTTAAGAATATATTAGGATAATTAACACTCCATGTAGTTATTTATTCAGATAAGGATTACCAAGGTAGGTGGGTTAAGCGGAATAATAAATTGTTTTAGCAAACACACAATGGGGTGGGAGGGGGCTTAAGTTGATGAATAGCTATAGCCTCAGTGTATTTCAATAAACGTCTTTCATTGTTTTGTTTTTCATGACTAACCCTAAATTGACATCAATCCTGTGGTTTATATCGACTAGAATTTTTGGATATAGACGAAGTGGTTGGTAGTCTTCCACCTGTGTCTATCGATTTTCACAAGTTCACCTGTTTTTCTAACCACTTCGGACAAAGGCTCTCCCACCGTCACATGTAAAGTGTGATTTCTACCTCCTCCTTATGTATGTGTGTTCTTACACACACACACACACACACTCGTGTACTTCTCAGGTTAGTAGTGGATTGTGCTTTTGACTTTTTCAATGATTACAAACCGGACTGCATAATAAGCCCTACGGATGACTGAGTTTATTCTGTGTCTTAAAATCCTACTATTTTAACTTCACCATTATATGCTCGACGTGATCAGTGCATAATAAATAATAGAAATAAATCTTTCAAACAAGTTGAAGGAAGAAAGAGTGAATGAAAAATAACAAGAAGATATACAATATAATGACAAAGAATACAAACAGTCTTAATGATCAGTGTTAAATTAGTTGACAAGAGATTAACATCAAGACAATACATTCGCATATCTCTTATATGCATGTATGTCTACAAGACAGTCAACAGGTTCGAATGTATCTTGTAAAGAGAATTGACATGATTTATTGAGTACTGGGATTAAAGTGTCAGCTAAGTATATTTCCAATTTATGATGAGTAGGAGAGTGACACATTGATTGATGCAGTTGGACTTGATGGCTTGTTACTGGTATGAATCTTTGTTTGACGCATAAATGTTTGGGAAGTGAGATCTCATGCATTTCAATAGATTAAATTCTTGTTTCTGGACAGGAACCACTCCCGGTTTTACAGTACACATTTTATATTATTGTTTTTTGTTGGAACTTATATATATATATATATATATATATATATATATATATATATATATATATATATATATATATATATATATATATATATATATATATATATATATATATATATATATATATATATATATATATATATATATATATATATATATATATATATATATATATATATATGAAAAAGTGAGTTTTAACAAGCAAGTAATTCATCACTTATTACGACTCGTAGTCGAAATTGCCAACTATAAAATATCACAATCTGCATGCCAGTGACTTTTGAATCTTACTGGCGGAATATATCATCGACTTCCTTCTATTCATAGCAAAATAATGGTTTCAGATTTAATCTTTCCTAAAATGTATTACAAGGTGATGAATTATTGGTATGGGCGGAATCCATCTTAAGACGTCGGTCTTTTATTTCACCTGTATTCTCTATTGCTTAATACCATTACGAGACTGTTGAACTGAGACACTGTTAAACAGCCTCATCAACAGTTAATATATCAATTGCTTCAGGTAAAATCTACTGTAATCGGTATGGGGAACAGCATCAGGATTTTCAACATCAATGTCAAATCACTGAGGGCTTCTACATCGTTCAGAGACTTGGCCTCTCCGTCACGGAAACAATTTTGCACAGACCTTTCCAAACTTTCATCAATATCTGTCTTCATTGACTCAATACGGAAGATGAGATGACCGGAAGGCCAGAAATAATTAACAACAGAGAACTCTAGCAATCATCAAACCGAAAAAACAGCAACTTATTTCCCAACCATTAAATGTTCAAAGGGAAATGGAGGTGTTTTTGATACAATCTGAATAGACAATCAGTTGACATCGGGCACCAGGCAGGACGGCGAGTGGAATCGCAGGGGGAAACAATGATTTTGTTGTGCGTCAGAGAATGACATAGAAGAGGGAATTCGTATAGTCAGCCAAAAAGCGATTACAGAGAACACAGTGAGATAATGATCTGCTGGTGAGGGTCTGTGTTTCACTCGGAATCCAAGAATATAGTGATAATGATAATGGTAATTTAGAACTCAGAATTAATATATACTGTGTGCAATAACTGACACCAGTAAATGCAGCCATTCACTATTCAAACTCTCCTCCCTTTTTTTAAAACTCCTCTGTCAAATGTTCATATCACAATGATCCTGAACGCCTAGCATTCAGAAAAGTATGCACAGTAACCAACGTGGAATATCTGAAAACGGAAGTGCAGTATGATTGTTTATTACTCCACCGGTTATGAAACTGGATTACACGTTACTATGTGCGCAGTCTGTGTGTGAATAAACTTCAATAAAATGAACAATAATACTTTTGAGATTAAGCAATGGTTGCCATCGTTGTCTTTCATTAAATGGACACCAGTTCAAATAAACAGACCATTCAGTTTTCAACTACACCGACATCCTTCGTTACTACAAACAGAAAGTGATAAGTTTATTATTTAACCTCTCCTAGTTTGCCAGCTGGCTGGTCTTCTACCCAGCCTCTATTTCGGGATATGAGGGAGAGATGGACGTGGGGTTAGCGACCCTATACCACAGAACCAATCAAAGTGCTACAGAAACTTCAACACACAAGAAATATATTTAATATGCAAAAAAAATATAAAAAAACAAACGTATTCCTCACTGGAATCGGAAAGGCGAAATGATACAGCGGCCTGGTGTTACCCCGCCTGACGGAAGCCAGCCAGTCAGCCAGCCAATGTGTCTTCTCTCTATGAAAGGAAGAATAAGAAAATGTACGAGACTAGCTTGATAGGCTCCCCAGGTGGCTAAAGAAACGAGAAGATATATCATAGAAGTGGTAGGAATCTGCGAGAGTAGACGGAGTGGATGTGGACTGTCAGAATCGTTAACTGGAGAGTCAGTAATCTGGTCTAGGCAACCAAACGACAACCACGAGTAAGTACACTGAGGCAATGAGTGACTATCATTATTTCATTAGTGTCAGCCAAAGGCTAAATGTAGTGGGAACCGATTTCATCCAGGATTATGTCGTCAATTTTCAACTCAAAACGAAGGAAGGAAGGTCACAATTATTCAGTGCTGCGCACAGTGCTAAAAACAACGCGGAACAAGAGAAGAAGGAAGATATCCATCGACAACTACAAATAGTGATGGACTGGTCACACACTGAATAGTCTGTTGGATGATTTCACACACCGGGTCATCACTCGAGTGGAACCCGACTGGGAAGCGAATAGTGGGTCGTCACTTCGAGAGTGACATGAAGGAGATCGTGTATTCAGGAGTAGATGCGAGATTATCAGTAGTCGTGGGCCCAGCTGAAGAGGACAACAGAAAATAGAAGTAAGTGGATATGTCTTGTTGAAGCTGTATGTCCCACTCGGTACCCAAGGGAACAATAATAATAATTATTATAATATTTCTTTTAGAAATACTAGTGAACATTTACATATGTGAAATGAGCACAACTCTCTACTACACAAATCTATACAGTTAGTATTCATCATTAATTGCTGAATAAAACAGAAAACAAAATCTCTCAGAGTTTTCAGAAAAACGTTGAATGCATTCTGTTCAACACTGATCAATATTCAATGATCACTTGAATAATAATAATAATAATAATAAGAAGAAGAAGAATAGTATCTGCTGAAGTTGAAATTTTTTCTTTTCCTCCTTTTCCTGAAGTATACCACACCTCTTGAAATGTGTATTCATCACTTGAAGCATAAACATAATAAGTAGTAAGTATTAAGCTTGAGAGGCAATTTATTTTCAACACATAAATAACTACAAACATTTAAACAAATGAAAGCATTAGTAGTAGTAGTAGTAGTAGTAGTAGTAGTAGTAGTAGTAGTAGTAGTAGTAGTAGTAGTAGTAGTAGTAGTAGTAGTAGTAGTAGTAGTAGTAGTAGTAGTAGTAGTAGTAGTAGTAGTAGTAGTAGTAGTAGTAGTAGTAGTAGTAGTAGTAGTAGTAGTAGTAGTAGTAGTAGTAGTAGTAGTAGTAGTAGTAGTAGTAGTAGTAGTAGTAGTAGTAGTAGTAGTAGTAGTAGTAGTAGTAGTAGTAGTAGTAGTAGTAGTAGTAGTAGTAGTAGTAGTAGTAGTAGTAGTAGTAGTAGTAGTAGTAGTAGTAGTAGTAGTAGTAGTAGTAGTAGTAGTAGTAGTAGTAGTAGGAATGTTGTCATTATCAAAAACAAGCTTCAAGCAAGGCATAATGACACAGAAATCATTCTTGCAAAAAGCTCCAACCATCAATTCATCACTATCGTGTTGCCTATACAAAGGAGAAAGGAGAAAAAAGCATAGGAAAACAAAAAAAACTGGAAAAACAAACAAACAAACATTTTTACACGTGATTACTTTACATCTTTCGAGTCATTCTCCAGTTTTTATTCTTCATTATTCATTGATTTCTACCTAGTTCTTTGTTTTCCTGTTGAGTTGCAGTATTCATCCGCTAACAGCTCTTGAAGGCTTACATACTTCTTTTGTGCGTGTGTGTATGTGTGTGTAGGTATGCAATCTTGGGTTTATAGTATTTTACTGGGTTACACAAACTGCGAGATGGAAATTTTGTTCAAATGAAGCGGAAATAGAAGATTAGAGTGAAGTGAAGACAGCAGCACCACCACCACCACCAACAACAACAACGAAGAAACAGAAAACGATTTTACTGGTGAATAGAAATTTTCCTTGTTTACCTCGTTCGGCGTAGAACAAGAACGTAGAACGTACACTAAAAAATGATATCAGCTTGTTTAATTCAGAGAGCGCGCACCCTAGAGGGAGAGAAGGGGAGGAGGATGGAGAAAAGCAATACATAGAAACTATGTAAAGCATAAAATACTGTGGGAGAAACAAACACAAGAGAACTAGGCAGGCAGGCTTTAGACCAGAAAGAGGGTGTATTGATCATATCTTCACCCTTCCACAGATTCTGGAACATAGGAATACTTACCGGCGTCCAACTATAGTTATATTTCTTGACATAAAAAGTCGGCATTCGATTCTGTCGACCGAGAAGTACTCTGCAGATGCTTGGCTGTAAAGGGAATGACGAGAAAATACATTGCACTGATAAAGGCACTCACTCTACGCGAACTCATGCAGTCAGCCAGGTGTTGGCTTACGGCGAGCAAGTTGTCACCTGAAGTGGTGACGACTAGTGGTGTCCGTCAAGGATGCCCATTATCCTCATTTCTGTTCAATTTCATCATAGATGTACTATTGGACTTAACCCTAAGTGACTTCAGAGACTGCGGGATTGACTTGCTACCAGGGAATAATCTCGTTGACTTAGAATATACAGATGATATAGTCCGTCCTGTTAGGTGAGGAAGACTCTGACAAAATGTAGAGTCTTCTGAACATCTCGAGCTGCAATCTACCAATGTTTGGCATGAGACTCACTCCTGATGTCAAATGTAAGATGATGCTACAGGACTGGACTGGGCTACACTGACTCCTAGCTTAGAAATAGGAAGTGAAGTGGTTAGTGAAGCGTGTTGACCACTCCACTTATTCGGGAAGTTGCATCATCAGGCCCTAGGAGGTGGATTGCTGACGAAATTTCAGCACGGATGCAGAAGGCTCGCTTCACATATGCCAGTTTACGCCGTCTATGTCATAAACGTGATATCCGGGTGGCTATCGACCAAAGGACGTGTTTACTGCTCAGCATTTCGCTCCGTCCTCCTTTATGGCTGTGAGACCTGTTCATTGAGAGTGGGAGACATGAATATCTTCGCTAGCTTTCTTTGATCATAGATGCCTGCGTTCTAGATCCCGTGTTAGGTGGTATAACTGGGTGAGCAATATTGAGGTTAGGAGTCGAGTGCTAGGTAAGGAGGAGGGGAAATCAATCGACGAGTCCGTGAAGTTGCATCGACTGAGATGGCTAGGACATGTGTTACGCGTGCCTAGCCATCACATTCCTCAACGGGAGGGAATATCATCTGACACTAGATGGATCAGCCAGTGATGGTCAAACCAAAATATGGGCTCATCAGTCAATGAAATCCATAACACTTAGTTTAAGCCAGTCACGTAGGACCGAGTGGAGTTCCTGACTGGTTGGGGTCCTCGGAAGGGTAGAAACCAATGAGGGCTGGAGACAGTTAGTGATATGGCTCAAAGTTATCGTTCTCAATGGCTGGCGCAGATGCATCCACTCCTTGTGATTTACAATACCCAATGAAACTATATTGTTCTTCGATATTACTATTCCTTTTGTCACACGCCTCTGTTTACTGTCTCTACTGTGCACTTCTTTTTACTTTCTTCTCTTACTTTGTGTGCTACATGGATTATGGCGAATCGAACTGCTGCCCTTCTGTGAGAATTTCTTTGTTTCAATCAGTCAGTCAATCTCTCAGTTCTATCCACTGACTTTCCTTCCTCATCCGATATCTTGTCTGTTTTTAAGGAAATGCTCCGTCTAACTTACTGCACTAAGAAATTTAGAGAATCAGGAAGGTATCATTCACCCTATACTCTTACAGTTTGTTAACTCTTGCATCTTAACTACTCCTCGTTATCGCTGTGCCTACCTTTAGTCTTTCCTGGCCTATTCCGAAGGGACTATGTGATATTGAGGAGAAGGTTGTTAAAGGATGTTATTAGGGCAAGTGGTATACCAATAAGTCAGTGAATTACTACTACTACTACTACTACTACTGAGTGTGAAACTTGTAACTTCAGGTGTAATTTTCAAGTACTGGTTTTGTAGAGATTTTGTTTGATTGGTTGGAGGATTTCATCATGAGGTGACATCAGTTACAGAACCACTGGAAAACCATCCAAGAAGTACTAGACAGCTGTTTCGTCCTAGTTTGGGACTCTTCATCAGTACTTACCCACCACGGGGGTTCGAACTCGAGATCTACTGGTTAAAAGGCGAGCTAGCTTGTATACCATCAAGCCACTCGTCATGGGTTTGAACCCCAGCGGTGAGTGTGTCCTGATGAGGAGTACCAAACTAGGACGAAACGGCTGTCCAGTACTCCCTGTCTGGTTGTCCAATGGTTCTCTAATTGATGTCAGTCCATGGTGAATTCCTTCAACTAATATGTAACTAGCAAAATAAGTGGATGTTTTATCCCCTTGTTTTTGTAATTTATAGTGAAATCCTTTCAATTATGTTATAATTATAGTTAGCAGTATTATCATCATTCTACACTTTTCGTATATTTTTAGCTTTATTTTCACTGCTAATACCAAAAACAGCTATTACCAGTTTTAATTACCTACAGTGTATAATGTTTGTTTTGCTGTTGTTGTTGAGTAAATTCGATGGAATACCATACCAAATGCTGAGAATTCCACGCAGAATCATAAGTACTGTTTTGGAATAAACCAGATGATTATAATAATAATTATTATTAATGAGAGTGAATCGAATCGCTAAAATTATGACTGTAAAGAATTTTCAAGCTTTAAATTTCACTATCTGTAGTAATTCTTTCACGGGGTTGGGTTGATAGCCTCACGCCCAATCTTCCCTCTTTACTGGGCTTACTCCTGGCTAAGAGAGGTTCAGTCTAAAATCAGGAAGATGAGTTAACTGGTCTGGAAAGAAGCTCATCCACGGTAAAGCATTCATTTGTATGTAATGACACAATAGAGTGGGAAAGGGTACCAGTACAAGAAAATATAGTTAGATGCAGAGAGAGAGAGAGAGTAATCACCGAATCTTTTTTCCTTTAAGCAACACAAAACACAGGCATTCGAAGCAACTCAGTATCAGTCCCGGATATTCCGATAAAACATGACAGGATGCAGAACTAACATAAAGCAGATTAACAAGACAGTCAGAAGGAAGGAATCTTTGCTTGACCAAAGTTTCGTGCTTGCTGACACCCACTAGTCAGCGAGGCGTATCTGTAATCTCGAAATTAACTCATGGTGGCCGCATTACGAATTTGATGAATTGACTTCCCACTACTACCATCACCAACAACAACTAGAACTAGACAAATGACATTAGTCACCAACCAGTGCGCTTAGGAGCGAGCTGGAGTAGCTCAGTAGTGACGTCTGTGAATGCAACATTGGCCTCTGACGCGAGATTGATTCTCAGAAGGGAGTCTAACTCCTTGAAGATTGTTGATGACTGGTGAGTGCCAACTAGCGCGAAACCTAGGTCTAAGGCCTCCTACCGATTTCCTTCAAGCATCTGATGACAACAATTGAGAAGGCTCCGTGATAGCGAGTTACCTAGCATGATGGATACATTGTAGACTTGCATGATAGAATTCAGTTTGCACCAAACACAGGACAAGGCGTATCACATTAGTCACACGAAACTACTTACTACATTATTTAATGATTTAAAAATAATTTCAATTCACTAAATAAAAGATTTATCTTTCTTTCCGATTGGTTTTGTGTCAAAAGTTCTGTTGTTGTGGTATGATACAGACAATGTGTAGCGACGGAATATTATTCTCATATATCCCCACAGTTCAATGCGGCATTAGCAACAGAATACTATGTATATTGAACACTCTATCTCATGTCCTTTAATTTAAGCCAAGATCACAAGCTCAATGACTGGTTAGAGAATACAAAACTATATATATATATATATATATATATATATATATATATATATATATATATATATATATAAATTGTGGTTTGATCATTTGAAAATATACCTTGGCTTCCGTGTTTTGCCTTTTGTTGTTACAATATGCCAGGACATACTAAAATGTATTTTATCTGTTCTACTCTTCAACAGTTCAGTTTAAATATTCATACCTTTTTCTCTGTCAATGAGTCAACAGCTAACTCCATTATGGATAAGATTTTATTTTGATAAAATATTACCTCCAACTGCATTTATAAATTTACGTGCACTTGTGGGAGCAAGTACATTGGAAGGACAGAAAGAAAGGCTTCTATCCGGTTTTCAGAGCATATTCCGAGAAACTTATGCTTAAAAGGAAGCAGATATTCACAAAGTGCAATTACCAGACACCTTGTGGATACGGGTCATTTTGTCGAGATTTCCAAATCCTTCAAAAAATATTCAACATACAAAAGACAGCGAATCTACTACGATTTGCTGAAGCAATTACAGCAGTCGAAAGTCTCAGGCCAAAGTTATGCACACAGAAGGAGAGTGTAGTCAATCACTCCCTCCCTTGGTAACCACATCACATTCATCACACTCATCAGTCATATACACTAGTGGGCTCAACTCACTAAGC